TATTATATATTGCACCCAGAATACTGTAGTAAGTGTGAACTCTATTGTACAGTACAGTATATACATGTACATATTGCATCTACAGTGTGTATCATAGTGAATTACATGTAGTTATCACATCTCTTTTCCAATAATAAGATTGCTTAAGTTAAGATCTGTTTCTTTTGATAATATCTTTAGTCCTAACCCAAGACTTTTATTCTATTTAGGTGGAGGTATTTGCTGCTGGAGTTGATCAAAGAATGGCACTGAAATTGTTTGAGTATGCTCGCAAGCAGATCTATATGCTATATGCTAAATTCAAAATTCCTATGGGGTAAGAATATCAAGCCAATATCAAGCATTTAAATTCAGCTCTCAGGTGTGTACATGTACCAGTCCATCCTGGAAGTATGTGACATTATCCCACTTTGGCAGTATGTGACATAAGGTCATTTTGGCAGTATTTGACATTAGCTCATTTGGGCAGTAAATGACATTAGCTCATTTCGACAGAATGTGATATTAACCCATTTTTGCAGTATGTGACATTAGCCCATTTTACCAGTCCGGGACATAAGCTCATTTTGGCAGTATGTGACTTAGCTCATTTTGGCAGTATGTGACATAAGTACATTTTGGCAGTATGTGACATTAGCTCATTTTGGCAGTATGTGACATAAGCACATTTTGGCAGTGTGTGACATTAGCTCATTTTGGCAGTATGTGACATTAACCCATTTTAACAGTACAGGACATTAGTTCATTTTGGCAGTATGTGACATTAGCCCATTTTGGCTGTACAGGACATAAGCTCAGTTTGGCAGTGTGTGACATTAGCCCATTTTGGCAGTGTGTGACATTAGCTCATTTTGGCAGTATGTGACATTAACCCATTTTAACAGTATGGGACATTAGCTCATTTTGCAGTATGTGACATTAGCTCATTTTGGCAATATGTGACATGAGCTCATATGGGCAGTGTGTGACATTAGCTCATTTTGGCAGTATGGGACATTAGCTCATTTTGGCAGTATTTGACACAGCCCATTTTGGCAGAATATGACATTATCCCAATTTGGCAGTATGTGACATTAGCTTATTTTGACAGAATGTGATATTAACCAATTTTGGCAGTATGTAACATTAGCCCATTTTAGCAGAATTGGACATTAGTTCATTTGGCAGTATGTTACATAAGCCCATTTTTGCAGTATGGGGTATTAGCTCATTTTGGCAGTATGTGACATTAGCCCATTTTGGCAGTACAGGACATAAGCTCATTTTGGTGTTATGTGACATTAGCTCATTTTGGCAGTATTTGACATTAGCTCATTTTGGCAGTACGGGACATTAGCTCATTTTGGCAGTATGTGACATTAGCCCATTTTGGCAGTACAGCACATCAGCTCATTTTGGCAGTATGTGACATTAGCCCATTTTGGCAGTGTGTGACATTAGCTCATTTTGGCAGTATGTGACATTAGCCCATTTTGGCAGTATGGGACATTAGCTCATTTTGGCAGTATTTGACACAGCCCATTTTGGCAGTATGTGACATTAGCCCATTTTGGCAGTATGTGACATTAGCTCATTTTGGCAGTATTTGACACAGCCCATTTTGGCAGTATGTGACATTAGCCCATTTTACCAGTCCGGGACATTAGCTCATTTTGGCAATATGTGACATGAGCTCATATGGGCAGTACGGGACATTAGCTCATTTTGGCAGTATGGGACATTAGCTCATTTTGGCAGTATGTGACATTAGCCCATTTTGGCAGTATGGGACATTAGCTCATTTTGGCAGTATGTGACATTAGCTCATTTTGGCAGTATGTGACATTAGCCCATTTTGGCAGTATGGGACATTAGCTCATTTTGGCAGTATGTGACATTAGCTCATTTTGGCAGTATGTGACATTAGCCCATTTTGGCAGTATGGGACATTAGCTCATTTTGGCAGTATGTGACATTAGCTCATTTTGGCAGTATGTGACATTAGCCCATTTTGGCAGTATGGGACATTAGCTCATTTTGGCAGTATGTGACATTACCTCATTTTGGCAGTATGTGACATTAGCCCATTTTGGCAGTATTTGACACAGCCCATTTTGGCAGAATATGACATTAGCCCATTTATGCAGTCTGTGACATTTGCTTATTTTGACAGAATGTGACATTAACCCATTTTGGCATTATGTGATATTAGCTCGTTTTGGCAGAATATGACATTAGCCCATTTTGGCAGTATGTGACATTAGTCCATTTTGGCAGTATGTGACATTAGCTTATTATGACAGAATGTGACATTAGGCCATTTTGGCAGTATATACAATTTGAACAGTGATCAGTCATATTTGAAAAATTAACCTGTCTAATCTGAACACTTTTCATAAGATTTCTCATGTTTCATACAAAATTGCTCAAATATTGTAATCATATCAAAACTTTTGGAAAAAACTTGAATGATCTTGATTACAATGGGGCTTTCCAGCATGACTAGATTTATTTGAATCAAATTTTCAAATTTCTGAAATGCCATAAAGCTATGTGATTAAATGAACATTTAATATGTTCCGAGAATGTGTTTACATTTCTTCAGAATCTGGAATATCGTGAATGCAAAAACCTCGAATTGTGAACACCTTTTAATCTGATAGCTTTAAAGGAATATTCATGGCAAGACCATTTCTCTCCTAATATGGTAGCTATAACCATATATATACTTTCCATATTTAGTAAAACAGGGAAAAATGTTTTGATATGGTCAATATTGATCACTTGAAAATGTAGTGCTGAATTCCAGTAGGCTGCCATCTTTTAATATTTCACTCAGGAAGTGATGTCATTGACTCTCAGCTTTGCATATAACACTATAAGGAGCTATTAAGAATTACAAAAACCAGCTGAATATTCTTTTTCAATTTTGTCTTTGATTTAATCCTTCTAAAAGTTTCTTCTTTTATTCTAAGCTGACAAGCTCTGAACATATTTTTGCGCATAAAGTAAGGATCACTCGTCTAGAAGTGATATTGTGCTATTTTCCTATACTGTTATATGCAAGGCCATGAAAGTTGAGAGTCGATGACATCACTTCCTGAGTAAAATCTTAAAAGATGGCAGCTTACTGGAAATGAGCACTACATTTTTAAATTATCAATATTGACTATATTAAAACATTTCCCCATGTTTTGCTTAATATGGAAAGTATATATATGATTATAGCTATCACATCAGGATAGAAAAGGTTTGGCCAGGAATGTTCCTTTAAGCCTGTTCCAATGGCGGTCAGATTAGACAGGTTTTACTTTATATAATTTGAGTGATATGAATCATAATTTTTCCATAATTTGCTCATGATTCAATATTTCAGTATTTCTGTAAAAGTATTTTTCTTTCTTCAGCCAAATTAATCCTGCTCCAAGAGACATGAGAATGTCGGAATCACTTGTGTCGAACACATATTTGCGCCTTCATAGTACAGGCTTCAATTACCAGGTAATTTGACTTGTATGACTAGAAATCCTGATTTTCTCTGGATTTTCCAGAAAATGAACCCTATTCCTCTCAAACAACTAGGACAAAATCAGGGTTTCTAAATATAAATTAGGTAGACTGAGGTTTCAAAAACCTTATTCAACAGATTCCAATTTGCATGTTTTAAAAATGAATTGGGAGGAAAATCTGGATGTCAATATGTGAAAATTGTATTTTTTACTAAAATTGGGAGGAATTTGTGGACATGAATATGATTCCCATTGTTGGATGATCAATTGGGGTCAACATTATTTGAAAACTGCCAAGTACGAACATTATTCTGATTCATATTCGTGTCTGGTAAACTCTTATTTATTAAAATGTCATTCCTCCATTATTCTTTTTGGGCTAGCATTTTATCATCACAAAACTAACAATTTTATTGACTTAAAAACTTGAAAAACTTATTTAATCTTTACATTGATAGGTTGGCCAGGTTTCTCTGTGCAATGACTACATCAGCAGGAGACTCATGATGCGCTATAGTAAAAAGGATGATTCTAAAAGCAAGAATTATCTACACACAGTAAGTGACCAATCTGAACATCATTAATTCAAATGTGCTCCTTAACTATTGTCCTTTAATATATGCACCTCTAGTTAATAGGATTTATCATGCACCTAAATGTATGTACGGCCCCCGACATACGATCAACCAGAATTTTGATAAGCCATATATTAACCTGACGAAGGCTGTTTCATTTCAGTTCATATAAAGAAGCAATTCAAATATGTGACAATACATGTGCAATGTATTATTGCTTTGTAGGTTCATGGTACAGCACTGATAGTACCAAGGGCGATAGCTATCTTAGTTGAACAAGGGCAAACTAAGGTAACTTTACTGCAAACGTAGACGCTAGAAATATATTATTATCAGTATGCTCATTTTCCTAGAATATATACATAAACTCTGCTGTGCTTAAATATGAGAATCTTGATGTGATTTTTAAAGTTGTTGATGAAATTATTAAACTCTTAGATTCCTTCTTTATTCAGTTTTTGAATATAATGGTTTGAAATCTTCATCAAGAGTTTGTAAATTATGTTATATCAAAAATATTAATAGAAAGATATTATACATTTGCCTTTTTAGGATGGCAAATTCACTCTACCAGATGTTCTTCAGCCTTATATGCCAACAGCTCAACAGAAACAACATCTGCAGGAAACACTTTAGCAAACATCTGTCCACACAGCTGTGCAATGGAAACAACAACTTCTTGGAATTGCTTTAGCAAACATCTGCTCATACAGATGACCAAAAGGAACATAATCTGTAATATAAGGAACTCTTTTGCTAATATCTGTCCCATAACTGCCAAACAGAATCAACATCTGCAGTGAACTCTGTTGTATCAATAAAGTGGGGGCATACAGTATGTATGGAGAACTGATAAGTTACTTTTGGAGGATGATTATCCAGAACATTATCTGTGGATGTACTAAGCTAACATCTCCAAGTTCAAAAATATCACATCATTTTATTTCAGATATGTTAAATGAATTCATAATTGAATAAATCCTGATATAAATCTAAATAAGTACACATATTTTTTTATACAAATGCTATTGTTGATTAATGCTAATGCCAGCTTTACATTCGCACCTACATTAAGTAGGTCGACTGCAAGATCAAAGTTTATAACAGAGTTCACCTTGTGACATTATTCGTTTTTCTTTCATCTTCATAGTGTCCAAAGTTCTCGGAGGTTCTTAATAGTTTGATCTTCAACTCGACAATGGGAAGAACTGCTCTACCTAAGTGACTAATATGTCATGATATGACATCTAAAGAGTCAATAAAAGATATACTATATATAATAAAGAATGTCATAAATTTTATATATATATCACCAATTAACTCAAAGTGAAGAATTAGACGGGAGAAAGCCGAGAGTTTTGACTATATATATATTTCAGCACCTATCTCGTTATGATTCAATTATATAGACACGTGTTTTGACATTTACAGTTTTTAATCCACATTATGTTTTTCATGGTATGTTTACCGTCTTTACATACAAATTCCAATGATTTTGTTGATGCCATCTCGGGAAGACAACATGTGCGTTTTTTACAAGTGCTACAATATTTGGGCTGGAATTTCTTGACACTTGTACAGTCTTTGATTTGGATTGGCTTTTTCTCCTTTGCACGTATTGTATGTTTGCAATGCCGGCCAGTCTGAAATCAAGAAAGAGCTACAGATGCACTCTTAAAAATTATTACTTGGATTTCCTTATATTGAGAAATTGTACTACTCATTTTAAGTCAAAAATTACTTAAATAATCTTGAACTACTGAATAATTTTGAAGTAATTTTTAAGTAATTCATTTATGGTGAATTTACTAATGCAAGGAGAGGAATTGAAATACTTACTGTAGTAATTGTAATACTCATTTACATAATTAAGCAATTAAAAAACTCAAAATGACAATATAACTTAAACCTAAGTAAAATGAAGTAAAACTAAGTATTTAACTTTAAGTAATTTTTATACTTGGGAAATACTCAAGTAATTCATTTTTAAGAGTGTGTATATTATCATCCTTTGCCCAAAAGTAATTCATTGCATTACATGAGCTGCTATGAAAACAGTGAAGGACCAATCTTGAAGGATGTACATTATAGGTGGCCCTGCTTTAATTTTGAGCTTCTTGTTACAGTACTACGGTGGAGTGACACGTGTCGTGCTGCCCATTTAAAGTTGTCACATGATAATTGATATTGATAATTGTCTTCAAAACAATAAATTTGATTATTGACTTATTGTAGTTTTCAAAAGCTTACCCTTGCAAAATATTGTTTTTATGAAATATATTGGTTTTGATAAATTATAAGTATTCAAAACATTTTCTGCCTTGTGGAAAAGCTACTATTTTTCAGCGACTGAAGCGACCTTATTATACCATGCAAACATGGTATTTAGACGATGTCATTTTAGATCCATAGACTCAACTTTTATTCAACTGCTGGTAATATTTTGCAAGAGCAGCCCCTGGAGGAGTTAAGATATGACCTATTTCGTGATAAATGTATCGTGAAATATTTAAAAAATTGTTTCTATCAAGTTCTAAATTAGCAATCGTATACGGTACCAAATGTTGATCATTGAGGTCACATGGTCTGATCTCACACATTCTGACTTGTTTGATTGGCTGACAATCCCCGTTGTCATTGGTGACCCGGATGGACACTCCCTGGCCACATGTCACAGAGCAAGCGCTCCACGCAGATGTATCTTTCTTGCATGGTCTTGGTGATGTGGTCACTTGAAATGGTGCTAAAAATAAATTTAAGGAATTAACAGATTTGGCATAGACCTACATGTACTGTACTGTCATGTATTTACACGAAAAACATTCAAATTTTCTGTTTCATAGGGCATGGGTTGTAAAGTATGTCATATTCACTTAAAAATAGTCTAGGCATATCTATATAAATTATTGAATACTTTGAGGCTGGCTAACACTATCCGTCTATACTACAGAAAGGTATATTGTTATGATTGAAAAACGCCAAGGGCAATACTAGAAAGAAAATAGAAACAATATGAATCAATGGATCCAAATGAATGGGAGAAAAATTACTAGCATTGAAAAATAATCCGGGGTGTCAGAAACTATGAAAGATTGCATTATCGGGGATTCCTATTACATGGAGCTTTTTAAGTATCTCATAATTGCCTCTAAATCGCATTCTATTAATTAATTAATTAATACATACAGAAAGTAGTGACGTCCCTCTCACGGTGGCCCGAATTTTCCTTATAATCTGGACATATCCAATCTTTGCAGCAGCTATTGTTGATTGAAATTAACTGTGGGTTGATGCAGGACACGTTCGACGGTTTCCTCTCCTCCTGAGGGCAGTTCGAAACACAACCATAGTGGCCATTTTGACAGGTACACTTTCTGCGACAGTCTGGTTGAAATGACTCCCCGTCTCTGTAGAATTTACCATTGTCAGGTACGTAGCAGGGATTCGCCTCTTTGGCTGAAACATATTATATTATGTTATATACGTTAGACCATAAACAGCACATTCTACATCCGCCATATCCGCATGTTCTTCCTCCACGTCTACAACATGCTTTTGTTTTGAACAAACAAGATAAGAAAGAAAACTCCGGACTCAAGAAATGGTCACATTATAGAAGATACTACTAGGCCTGATCCGAGTGGCTAGTCTACAAGTCCATGGATTGACGGATTTGACTCAGAGGGACCGTGAATGACCTTAACCCGATGACCCAGTTACTAATTTTGCACTTGACGTCAATATAGTACAACACCAGAATAATACACTAACCTCTACACACTCCTCTTACGCCATTATCCAGTTGAAAATCACAATACAATCCTTTTTGTTCATCACACAACTGTTCATGGTTGCACGTATCTCCCTGCTGGCGTCCACACATAAAACAGCAGCCACAACCGTCCTTTATGATATTGACACCGTCTCTACAGCCAGGTACATCGTGAGGAGTCTCGGGACATTCTGTCGTAGGGCAAGGCCATCTGCACTCCTGGTGGACCTGAAAATTGTTTTTCATAAGTTGCATCAAATGTTTAACCATGGTCCTTGTTGTATTTAAAGTCAGCTGGAGGATTAATTATTGTATGGCAAGATTAAATATCTAATAAATGGATGGCGGCTGGTTATTTGGATGGATGGTTAGCTGGTTGGATGGTTTGGTGGGTGGATGGTTAAGTTAGTGGGTTGATGGATGGTTAGGTGGATGGATGGCGGATGGTTATTTGAGTGGATAGCTAGATGGGTGGATGGTTAAGTGGGCGGATGGTAAGTTGGATGATTTGGTGTGTGGATGGTCATGGTAAATGGCGGGTGGGTGGATGGTTAGGTGGGTGGATTGTGGGTGGGTGGTTGGATTTTTAGTTTGGTTTTGATGATGCATGTTCCTAATTTGGTGTTGATAATTGGACTAGTTTAACTCCTATCAAATAATTGTACTTGTCATCATTCTTAATGATTAAATATTCTGGGTGTTACACAAATAAGCTTTACTTAATGACTTTCTTTGATCAGGAGATATATCGGCACATTGGGAAATCAATTCAATTACAGCTAGTTCTAAATCAAAAGGAGTCATTCATTTAATTACCATCAACATTGTCTTGGTCATCTCATTTTAATATATGAAACGTCTGAATGTTCATTTTTTGTTTTATCACTTCCGATGCACTGTGGACTTTCTAAGTTCTAGCATTGACACGACAGTCTCATCTGTTGACGAGAGTTCTGAAGTTGTCTGTACTTGGCAATAATATCGGACTGTATAATGAGACCTGGGAACGAGACCAGCGACTGTTCCTGTAGCATGTATACATGTAAAGTTAAGCCATTTAATCGAAAATGCTTAATCGTATATTCTTTATTGGTTAATCATATCTTGCAAGACCTTTTGTTTCGGATCGGCTAAAGTTTCATTTGAGAAACAAATCTAGGCAATATTTGATCGAACCGAAGAGAGAACACACGATATTTGAAAAGACGATTCTTGCGCTGATTGCTATTTGGTGATTTATAATTTGTTTATTGTGCAAATGTTGGCATATAGATTGAATTTAATTTAGTTTAGTATTTAGGCCTAGATCAAACATAGGTATACTTCCATGGAAGGGGCGTTTGTCAATGGCCGCTGAACACGACCCCCGTGAGGCTAATGCAGCTACCCATTCGTTTTAGAAGACGTTTTAGATTAATGTTACTTTCCCATTAGAAAGAACCTCGACGATCACATGGCGTAAAATTGATAGTTTACATCATCCTCGTAGGAAGGAAGACACACATTTGACATAAGCAAACCCCTGTGGATTGGCACGACGTCCCTAATGTGAATTATTTTGAACGGAACCTTTGTTATTGAAATTAATCTATTTCCAAGCTCTGTCAGTAGTTGAATACTCTGTAGACTTGAGAAGAATCTAGAAGTTTAAAAATGTTCTGGCTGCAAGACCATCGGGATGGAAGTTCGTTGCGGTAATCCCTGTCTACTTTGATCTTGTAATACACATTATAGATGAGGACATTAAGGATCAACTTAGTAATTATTTAGGATTAGGATGCTACATTCCTCGTTGGTTATTGTGACCCGTTCCAAACAATCGATGTAGTTTTTTTGAATTTGTAAGCCTTTTGTAAGTATTACTTTTTATTTAGAATTCCAATAAAAAGTGCAGAGAAAACTACGTGTTTCCGCGTCAGCTGGAAAATCTATTGCGTCTCGTTTCAAAGCACAATTGGGATGATGTATATTGGCAATCCTTGACCTACATTCATTTTGTAGAACAAAAACTTTGAAAACGGTTACATGAAGCCAAGAATCACTGTTCACAACCCCTCTTGGATACAAGACACTTTACAATATAGCAGCCTTACCGTAGCAGTATCATTTCTGGGCATTTTAGTTTCAGTTATATCAACTCTAATGCCAAACATCCAGTGCTAAGGAAGAACTCTAGTTCCTTCAATTGTCACAATGCATATTCAAAATTGTGACGAAAAACTTCAACGTTGGCCTAGAAATACCCGACTATCAATCTTTCGAGATCAGAAATTTATTTTTGTACTGTAAATTTCGATCTTTTCACGGATACTGGTGTTTTTGTGTGGAACTTTTGTATATTTATGATATTAAGTTGTCCTTTGGCCTGAGTTGCATTGTATGTCACAGAATAACGTATATATGGAATGATACTTGGATACTCCATAAAAGATCAAAAAAATGTTTGGGACAGTTATTTGTTGTTATGCATTGAATTGGATGTTGCTACTTGTGATTTTTGATCACTCGCCGCGAGATCTTATCAGCGTATTGATTAGGATCCATGTTTCTCACCCAAAGGTCTTTTTAGTCTGAAAGGTCCATGAATTATTCAGTCCGTAGATGCACAGCACATTCCCAATTCCCGGGGGTGTATTAAAGGAACTCAGCATGCTTTGAGAAATCTACTTTCCGTGAGAAATCTAACGATTATTGTGAAAAACAGTCTCAGTTCGATATAAATCAAACTAATGCATTTGATCCTTAATGATCAATTCTCAACCTCTGGCCATAGGAGCCTATATCATTCAGGGCAATGGCGTGTTGACTTGCCTTGAGCTCAAATATTAGAGCAGAAAACCTGAAACCGATGTCCCATAATATGATTATAAAAACGACATCGACCTTGCCTAAAAATATGGTACTACAGTCTTGTGCATCGCTGAAGAATATATCGACAGTTAACTTGACAAATGTGATGATGATTTAGTCATCATTTTCGTAGACTGAACAAAAAAGGCTCTTAAGTCAAAATGCCCAATAATTCAAAATGCGTGTCATCGTGACATATGAATTTTGACAAACGTCTCATCCAAAGTTAATTATCAAAGGTCACCGTTCCCATTTAACCAATTCAAAATGAATTATTATCATTTTGAGCTTTAAAAGTCTGATCGATTGATGTGATCATATACGAGTATAGACGGAGGAAAATGCTTTATATGTGTTTATAATGTTTTTTTTCACAATGTTTTGCTTTTTGGGTCTTCTTTGTAGGTGTTTGTTAAGTGTTGTTTATTTGGTGTTCTTCGTAAGGTGTTGATTTTTAGTAGGTGTTGTTTGTAAAGTATTGTTTCATTGATGTTCTTCGTAAGGTGTTGCTTTTTGGATGTTCTTTGTAGGTGTTGTTTGTAAAGTGTTGTTTATTTGGTGTTCTTCGTAAGGTGTTGATTTTTGGGTGTTCTTAGTTGGTGTTGTTTGTAAAGTGTTGTTTCATTGATGTTCTTCGTAAGGTGTTGCTTTTTGGATGTTCTTTGTAGGTGTTGTTTGTTAAGTGTTGTTTATTTGGTGTTCTTCGTAAGGTGTTGATTTTTGGGTGTTCTTAGTAGGTGTTGTTTGTAAAGTGTTGTTTATTTGATGTTTTTCGTAAGGTGTTGCTTTTTGGATGTTCTTTGTAGATGTTGTTTGTAAAGTATTGTTTCATTGATGTTCTTCGTAAGGTGTTGCTTTTTGGATGTTCTTTGTAGGTGTTGTTTGTAAAGTGTTGTTTATTTGATGTTTTTCGTAAGGTGTTGCTTTTTGGATTTTTTTGTGGATGTTGTTTGTAAAGTATTGTTTCATTGATGTTCTTCGTAAGGTGTTGCTTTTTGGATGTTCTTTGTAGGTGTTGTTTGTAAAGTGTTGTTTATTTGGTGTTCTTCGTAATTTGTTGCTTTTTGGATGTTCTTTGTAGGTGTTGTTTGTAAAGTGTTGTTTATTTGGTGTTCTTCGTAAGGTGTTGCTTTTTGGATGTTCTTTGTGGATGTTGTTTGTAAAGTATTGTTTCATTGATGTTCTTCGTAAGGTGTTGCTTTTTGGGTGTTCTTAGTAGGTGTTGTTTGTAAAGTGTCGTTTATTTGGTGTTCTTCGTAATTTGTTGCTTTTTGGGTGCTCTTTCTAGGTGTTGTTTGTTAAGTGTTTTCTACAGGAGATTGTCTGCTGTTAGTATAGTTTTTTTTCTATACATTATGTTGCTTTTATATAATTATTTATATATTTATTTATATTTTTGTTTTGTGAGTGCTATTATATTTAACATGACGTTTACATTTCAGATTTCTCTCTCTCAAGAATCAAAGTCGAACTAATGTGAATTAGATAATGTCCATTTACATTTCTGTTCTGAATACAAGGATAGCAACTTACGAAGGAAAGACCCATGGGTATAAAACAATGATCAAGCTTGAAAAACTATTAAATGAAGTTGTCCATTTGATCCCAAAGTAATCAAGAGTAATTGCTCTATTTCATCTATTCTCGTAATGATGTTGCCCTTTGAATATGTTTATCAGTTGAATCATCATCTAGCAGAAATGACTAGAGAAGGATTCATTATTAGACAGAGGAGAAATCTGTTAAATCTATGGAAGGAAATATTACATTGAATTTGGGTCAGACAAAAGCGGTAATTTTTTAAATGAGTCATTCTTTGATAAGAGGGTAAAAAGTCCGGTGCAAAGGAAATTGTCTCGCAGGAATTTTTGTGCCAGTTTGTATTGGAATACAATCTCGCTCTGAATGTGAAATAAATAAATAAAAGGGGTACATTTTTCCGATCGTCTCCCCTACCGATACTTTATAATTAGACTCGAAGTTGTACAAAGTATTGTTTGCCTAAATTACAACCGGAACCAAGTTTTATTAAGACCATCACCTCGGCAAATATGCATTGAAACAAACCATTTGTTATTTAATCTGATAATTTCCAAAATATCGAATCATCCGGGCTTACTGTTCCTGTCGAACGTTGAACTTGTGGAAAATCAAATGATGGTTTTAGCGATGAAAGATAGAAAACCACTATCTCAACATGGGTGTAATTTCCGTCAAGAAATAATTGAAGTTGTCAAACAAATGCCTTATTTATAATGGAAATCAAACCGACGTTTCAATGTGTCTTTTCTTGAGATGATGGCCAGATTAGTACGATATTTGTCCGGAGATATGATAAATACCGTCGGCAAAACTAAGCTTGTATTCGCGAATGCAATTTTCGGCTGTCGGCTACCGGATTAACCGACTGTTTTACGAACCACGCATTTAAATGTGAATGAAATAGTGGCAGATTCTATTCATATTTAAATGAGTTGCCCATATAGTAGGTTATCTCGGTAGCCGACAGCTGATAGTTCCATTTGCGACGAAATGCGTTTTCACTGCTAATTAAGACTGAAGACGTTGATTCTCATGAAGAACCATATGTTTGAAAAAAAAAATCTTTGAAAAAATCTTTGAACTGAGAAATAGTACACCATCGACACAAATACATGTAGTTGGCGGGAAATATCGTACCTAGTACCCAGGGCAGTATTTATCAGCCAAGGGGCGTGATCAGTACAGACTGGAGACGCTGAACTGCTAAATTAACCATTCCACCCATGTATTGCGCAGGTCAATTTAAACCTATGGGGATTTTCAAGTCCTCGTAAAATCACCAGCTAGATATCATCAGGGGAGTTGATCTATTTAATAATACCCAATTGAGTTTACAGACATTTGATTATCTCCTAGAAATCATTCCTTGAACACACATGGAACGCTGCATGAATACCTAAGTGCCCTTAACTGGTCTAGGGGAATCACTGAAATAAAACACTGCTCAGGAATACGTGCCTAAGGAATTTGAACTGAGGAATAAATTCATTGCCAGATCGAACTGCTGGCAGAAGTCTGAATCTAGGCAAATTACTTTCATAAGTAATGTAATAAGTACAAATGTGCCCATTCTAAGCTTGTTTTGATGTATAAATTGGTTGGTTCAACATGGTTATTCTAAAAATGTTGAATAAAGAATTATGACAGAGGCTCTTTTTGCATTACTAATGCCATGGTGGGATAGTCTCCGACCTTCAGTACTGGCGTCCGACCGATGAGTATTTTGTTCAAAATTGTATTCAGGCCATTTTGAGTGTACCTGAGCAGCAAATGTAATAGCTTTAAAGTAAATAATTGTCTTATTTGTGTATGAGTCCGAATGACTTTCTAACCTAGGAACTGAAGACCAAAGGGAGGTGACCATTTCCGAGGGTTGATAGTCCGTCGGACCAAATTTAAGTAGGATCGAAATACTTTTACACAGGCGTATTGATATTGGTAACAAGAAAGGTTCAAATGTGAACCCCGTGCAAATGTCACCACCGGGGTATAACTTTGGAAACAGCTTATCTCCAAAGCTCTCTCAATGCTTTTACTTAAATTCTTTACCCGTTGATTTAATTTGCTGAGAAAACGACAAGGTCGACTAACTTTATTACTGATTCACCTCCTGATGTTGTTAGAGTCTCGACATTCTAGGCCTTATGGTTAGAATCAATAAACGATGACATCGAAGGAAATGTAAGTTTTATAAAGTCCTGCACTTAAGAGTCCAAGAATGATTCGTGGTCTCATTCCGCTTTTAATGGCTGTATCGTAAATTTTATACCAGCACTATATTTTGTGCATCAGTTGTTCATACGGTACCATAATCATAATTTTACAGTTTGTAATGTAGCTTTATAGACTTTTACTTGTCTTAATATTGGGGAACGAGAGCATTTGTTAGTAGACCTGTTCAATAGATGAGTTTGAGCAACTTATGATTGTAGTAAAAGTCGTAAAAGAATGTACCAGTGTGGAGTCATTCGGGAGTTTAGCTTGCATATAAAATCGAAACGCCAACCTATACGTATGATCAATCGCCCATACTATGCATCGCTTAAAGTCCCCGTCTTAAGTTTGAAAATATTTTTTTTTCATTCATTTACTATTTGTCAGGACTTAAAAAGTGATTTTAGAGATTTTTGAACAACAAAAAAAATTTCAAAAAAAAGTTGTGAGCATTTCATTTCTCAAATATTCAAATTTCCCGCCATTTTTCAAAAAAAGTTGAAATTTCTTAATCATCAAATATTTCTTAATGCATTTCAAAAAAGATTATCTTTTTAACACCAATGCAAAGATTGAACAAAAGACACGCTATTTCAATAATAAAATGTCATATTTAATGGGCTACACCAATGTTTTAGCTTATCAAAAATATTTTGAAACATTAGTGATGTCACTAAGGTAACAAAAACTTTTTGAAAAAAATTGAATTTTTTTTTCGATGTCAATCTTTTCTAAATATGCTACTACTTTCATAAAAACCAATGTTGATTGTCTAACCGGGTTAAAAGGAAGAATATATTATGTTTCAGATATCATTGTACCATTGGTTTCTATGAGAACTAAAATTTTGAAATGCATTTTTCTCAGAACCATTTTCATGCACTGATAAGCTCATTTCTCGCTTGTTTATCAACCGAGTTTCTTAATTTTTTCGGCATAAAACATGGGAGGATGAATGCTATGCATTGATATGAATTGTGGCTAATTAGAAGATATGAGTGACCTCTAAAAGTTGGTTTTTAATAAATTCACAAATTTTGGAACAAAAAACCTATCAAAAAACACTTTTTGAAATTTTAAAAAAAAGTTTCACATATCACACTTTGATAACATTGGGTAAGACTACAATATTAGCCAAAGTGGTTTAAACTTTACATGGGGCCTTTAAATATTCTCCGTTCACGTTTAGGTTGTGAAAAGCATTGCAAGCTTAAACTCCCTATTGTTGAGTGCACGGGTCGTACAACTTATTATTTAGGTTTATATATTGATTCGAATTCCATAGAATACGTTTCATCCTATGTTTCTCTCGGCACCTAATGGATGGAATCGTTTTACATCCACAAATAATTGGCAAAATCATATCTGAACGAACTTGTTTAACATTCTTAGTGAAATACGGTGATTACGTCTCGCAATAATTCCTGTAAAGTAGCCTTGATTACTTGGCATTGATCGACCGTTTAGCATTCCTGATTCCCGATTGAAGGTTTCTATTGAATCTCAATGTCGTATTTTTCTTTTTGTCTTGCTATAATTTAAATCTTATCGATATAGGTATTTCTTTCAATGAGGCATTTCAATTCAAATGTTAAATAAAAATTAGTATCATTAAAATATAAATTTATGTTGTTTGGATATTGCGATACGAAGATAAGTGAATTGCTTATCTTGTGCTAAAATTGACCAGCAGTCATCACGTTTAACCAACATCAGTCTTACCAACCATTATGTAATCACACTACAAAACAATAAATACAATACTATGCATTATAGAATAATTCAGAAGTATATGAAATGGGCCCAGGCCATAATACCAACCAGTCTTCTGTGATGTTCGCTTCTGGCGATTCTGTTTTGATGTGCTAGCTCGAAGAACTCACAGTTGTAGCAGGGTGCTCTGAGTGTCTCGACTCCCGTCTCCATAGCAACACAGGTCGCTATTAGCAACAAACTTAACTTCAGCACTTGTTCCTTATTATTCATTACTACAGAGTGATTTTTTCAATAGATTCTTACTTTTGATTATTGAACTTCTTCTTGATTATATATTGAACCTGTCTTTTGAAGCACTAAATTGTTTCTACATTTCAATCCAACTGTTATTGTCAATCGAATTCCACGGTATTGCGTGTATTAAGGAACAGTAACACGTTTAATCTGATCCAATTTTGCCAAGCTGCTTCATGTCTTTCGTGATTGGTGTGTTGGACAAACTACAATCCGTCCCACTAGAGCATCTGCTCCGATCGAGAAAGTATCAAAGTAAATCGGCTGAACCAACCAAGGATGATCGATATGATACTCAATCGTGATATTGTTTTATAGCCCTGCGATCTAAATTATTTAATTCCTATGTAGGTGGGTGTATACAACTCCCCAGGATGGATATATAGAGGTTATTTAATGGGAGGTTTTTGATACAGGGTATATCTGAGAGAAATACAATATTTCTACCCGAGGGACCGTAGGGACCGAGGGTTGATATATTGTATTTACCGAGGGATATACCCTGTATCCTCAGTTAATACTGATTCCAAATATCAGATACACATATGGTATGTGATACAATGTGTTTCTTACAATCATTTAATCAATAGGTCTCCCTGTATTTTATGTATTGATAGCCTTTTATAGCGTTCCTTCAAAACATCAGCTGAAATTTTCAATGCTATGTCGACGTCTCTATGTATTGAATTCACTGGTTAGTATCAAGCGAAGGTAACGGCCATAACCGTTGCATTTAAGATGGCCGATGGTAAGTGCCGATTTTGATATGTTTTGTTTTCATAGAATTAAACTACTTTATATTTAACGCAATGCTTTGATACTTTCACTATATCAGGTTTATGACATGGACGCTTTAATAGAGTTCATTTGTTCATATACCATGCGTAGGCACCACAGTTCAACGATATCTTCCATGCCATCGCTTAAAGCCCCTTGTAATGTTTGAAAATATGTTTTTATCATTCATTTACTATTTGCCATGACTTTATTTTAGAGATATTATGAAAAAAAGTTTTTTGAAAAAAAGTTCTCAGCTTTTCGTTTCTCTTCAAATTCCCCGCCATTTTTCAAAGAAAAGTTGAACTTTTTTAATCATCAAATATTCCACCATACATTTCAAAAAATATCATCTTTTTAGCACCTATGCAAAGATTGAACAAAGAACACACTATTTCAATAATAAAATGCCATATCTAATGTGCCACTTCAATGTTTTAGCATATCAAAAATATTTTGCAACCTGGGTGATGTCATCGATGACTCACTCAGGTGGCAACTTTTTTTGAAAAAAATGAATTTTTTATCTATGTCAATCTTTTCTAAATATGCTAAACTTCAATAATAAATCAATGTTGATTGTCTAACCAGATTAAAAGGAAGAATATATTATGTTTCAGATATTATTGTACAATTGGTTTCTCTGAGAACTAAAATTTTAAAATGCATTTTTCTCTGAACCATTTTCATGGATTGATGAGTTCATTTTTCACTTATTTATGAACCGATTTTCTTAATTTTTTCGGCAAAAGATACGCGAGGATGAATGCTGTGTAATTGTTTGAATTAATCCTTATTACAAGTTAGTTTTAAAGAAATTCACGATTTTTCGAACAAAAGTCCTTCAATAACCACTTTTTGAAATTAAAACAAAAAGTTTCACATATGACACTTTGATAGCATTGGTTTTTATGGGGGCTTTATAAGGGAAGGTAAGCAGGACTTTGGTTTTGCAGATGATAAGTTAACTGATATGCGGTGATGCGGTAACGTTATGAGAGTTTATAATGGAGAGCTAAGATCAAGTTTCCGCTAAGTCCAGTTTCCGCGTATTGAAAACTAACATGGCCGTTACCGCATCATACATGACCAGTTACCTTGAAGTTCCCTTTAGCGATGGAATATGTATGCCCATGCACGATATCTGAACAGATTAGCATACTCCGTGACTCATGTCATATAGGCCTGATTTGCGTCAAATATTAAAGAATAACCTCAACTATAAAATAATTAATAGAATATTACCCAGTAAACGTGAGCTTTTTATATTTGGTAAAACAGAAAATTATAGTTGTGATATTTGTGGAAATTCTGATTCAGTAAAACATTAAATTTTTTGACTGTGTTTTGGCCAGGAGTGTCTGGAACTTCATACAAGATAAATCAAAACTTAGAATAACTTATAGAAAAATTATTTTAGGTTATGGCAATGGTGATTTCACTAAATTTCTTAACTATTTTATCAGTGTAATTACATATACAATTTATAAGGTTTACCTAGGACAGATAAATGACGACAATAATGTCAGAAATTTAGATGTTATAATACACTCTTTGAAGAAGGAAATAGCTATAAGAAAAAATATATTTTACCCACAATTTTGGAAAATATGTGACACTATCTTGTAATTGTAACATTGGAAATGTATTTGTAACATGACTTAATAAACAGAAATATAATTTATGAATGATAAAAAAAGTAGTTTAATTAAATGAAAATATCGAAATCGACAATTACGGTCCGCCATCTTACTTGCGAAGGTTACGGCCGTTACCTTCGCTTAATACAGACCAGAGGAATTAGAGCTGAAAAAGATAAAAGCTAATTCTAAATTTGATATTTGTACACATGTCATCTTCATTAAACATGTTAGCGAATGTCATCCAGAAAAGGATTTTAAGTTTCTCACCTAATACGTATGGAGGTTGAGGCGTCTTACAGTCGATCGAATCAAAAGAAGGAACCTTTCATTGCTATATGCGAATAACAATAAGTTTAGAAATATAAACCAAACTCTTCATTTGATTTTATCGGAAAACATGTACACGATAAGGAATGCTACAAGCAAAATGGCAAAATATTGACAATTTTCTTACTTCTATTTTCACTTTTTATCTATCAGCCAATATGTCTATTTAGCACCCGGAAATACAATTATTAGAAGACGTGTATGAACGGGAGTATTTGCTATCTGTCTGAGATTACTGCAGGCCCAACATAAGCCAGCGGATGGAAATCCTCTTAATAGTTGTAAATCGAACCCATCAATTACAAAAAGCTTCCCGTGTTATTAAATATATATCCAGATATGTCCAAAATTTGAAAAATCACCACACGTAGAATCTAATTAAACCCTAGAATTTCCATTACGAGTTCGATAGAGAGATTGATCAGATTCGTAATATAAGGCTGATACGTTCTGTAAGATAATCTGTTTTTCTTATGAAAACAAATAGATGTTATAAATCTCAACACTGGAATATAGTCTTGACTCTCCCCGAGGCTTGTTCTAAGTTTTCTTGCGCAAAATACATAAATGATAAACCACCGTTTAATGGTAACATTTTTAAAGACGCTTATTACCACGCAGCATTCTTTTAAAGAAAGTTCAAAAAGCCAATGTCCCGTTTAAGAACCGCTATTGTCAATATTGAAAATTTATTCTAGCAATACTATCCAACATGAATCTACTCATTGAGACTCGATCAACTTGAGTTCTTCTGAGAAAATGAGGATTTCAGCAAGGGTGCATTGACTTAACATGGGGGCATACACCATTTCTCAGACCTTGCATCGGGATACTATAGGAATATCCTATGGTTTTGAAAAAATATCATTTATATCCATGAGTGGATATTGATATCTTCATGAGTGAGCGCAGCGAATGAGTGAAGATATTTGTATCCATGAGTGGATATAATTGATATTTTTGAAAAACCATAGGATTGTCCGTTTATCCCATGGAAAATCATCATCAGCGAAAAAAGTTGAAAAATATAATTTGAGAAAAATTTTGAAAAAATGAAAAAAAGTTGAAAAAAAATTTGTAAAAATGTTGAATTTTTTTTGAAATTTTGAATTTTTTTGAAATATTTTTAAAAATAATTAAAAAAAGTAAAAATAAATTTTCTTTGAAAAAATTCGAAACCATCGAATATCACTTTTCAAACCATCGAATATCACTTTCTAAGACGTGATATTCGATAGTTTAAAAGTGATATTCGATGGTTTGTGAATTTTTTGCTAAAATATGATATCTTCATCCACATATCAAATATATCTTCATGTGATATTCGATCTATACCCTTATAAAAAATTCAACCTTGAAAGTCCGAATTTAAACCGTTTCCATCAATCATTGAATACTGATTGTTTCAACTACTAAGATCAAAGGAAAAACCATTGTACGGTGATAAGCAATCATTGTGCAACCATTGCGTTCAACCAAACAAAGTCAACTCTTTTTCAATGACTGCGCAACCATTTCTATACAATCATTGTAATCTGCAACCATTGTAAACTGCAACCATTTCACATTGAAATGTAAATGGTTGCAATACGTTTTGTTCAATGATTACATAGTTCAAGCCCTGCAACCATCCTGAATTAGTATCGTTCCAAAAAATAATCATTTTACTTGAATTAAAATTATCTTTAAGTAAGGATTTGAATCTACCTCTATTCAACAACAGTATATTAGGATATTTTTTTCTGCAAGCATACATGCATGTTTATTATAGTGAATTACTAAATTCATGTTCATATGTTTGTTTTCTCCACTAGTTTTCCACTCAATGGCATATGATAATTTATGTTCTCTGTCATTTACATTGTTTACACAATTAAAAGTACTATTTTGATATTGACTGTATATTATGTGTGAAACACATTATTCACAACAGATTTAATTACCATGTTCTTTCTTAGCAAATATTTTTTATAACAATGCTCAACACAACAATACCTACTACATATTGATATTCTCATGGGTTTAAGAAAATCAAAATGCTTGAACAGCCAATTAAAACGGTTGAACAGCTAATTAAAATGGTTGAACAGCTAATTAAAACGGTTGAACGGCTAATTAAAATGCTTGACCAGGGTTCATAGCCCTAGTTTCTGTTATATCTATTTTCATCTTGTTTTATACTATATATTTATTTTAATTATCTATTTCATGCAGAGGGGGGGGGAGTTAAAATTTAAAAAGTGTTTTCAGATTTTTGAGGGTTTATTTCTTTATTCAATTACTTCAATAAGTGCTGAGAAATCTCAAATAGCAAGTATATGAAACTGCAAATAATATTTTCAGAATTTTTTATTTCATTTTTATTTAGTTTGTTTTACCATAGGCATTCAACAGATTGAAAGTCCATGGTTTTACTTTATTCACTAGGGCAGAGCATTTGTACTGAAAAGTGTTTTCAGTTTAAATGATATGTGTTGATGATTAAAAAATAAAAACCAAAAACAGGGCTTATTTTTCAAAACTCTAAACTTGGAAAAATCTGGAGGAAAATATGGGAGATTTTCTTTGGCAAATTATTTATCAAGTTCTGTGTATGGAATAATTTAAATTACATAGGATGCTTCCTTTATAGCAGACTCTAATCAAACTGATATAATAAGGTTTGTTTTGCCTTGCCGAATTATTTTTGTTTTGTTTATGGATTAATGGATTAATAAAGTTTCTTTAGACACATCCTTCAAAGCAGACTCTAATCAAACTAGATAGACTGAGTCTAACTGTAATCAGAGTTTTTAAGTTATGCTTATCGACTTAATTATTTAAAACACATCCTGTAATGTCTGATTGCATTTTCTCTATCAAATCAAAAATATCAAATCAAAACAGATTATTTTCCCATTGAAGGATTTCTTCCTTCGAGACACATCTTCCTTCCTTTATAATTGCGATGATTGCAAGGTGAAGTGTAAAATCCAAGACTTGACCCAATCAAATTTTTTTTCAAATGATTTTGCAATAACTTCAAAAGTAATGAAGTGATTTTGTAAAAATGATAGTCATGACAGCAAGGGGGATTTGCTATGCCTAAGCATTGCTGTTATCTAGATAATATACATGTGAGTGGGACAATCACCATCCTTCAAAGTTAGATGAAAATTGGTTCAATATATTTTCATTCACAAGACAAGTTTACTTAACTATTTCAATACTTTAAATATCTTTTTGATCAAACCATTTAAATTCTGACGTGTACAGTATGCATGAAATACACACATTTGAAATATATTTTTTAAAGAGCAAGATAATTATTTTATGTTGTATTGAGATAAAATTGCCATAGTTTTAAAGGGTTGCATTCGATTGAAACGGTTGCAAGAAATGCAACCAAAATTGTCAAGCGTTTACAATGATTACATATGATTGAAACATTTCAATGAGTTTACAACCAAAATTGTAATGGTTGCATCGTAACGGTTGGCATGGTTGCATAAATGATCGGATCAATGATTGTACAATGATTGTGCAACGGTTTAAATTCGGACTTTCAAGGTTGAATTTTTTATGAGGGTATCCTTGCAACCATGGGATAAAAGCATGTATGTCACCATATTAAGTCAAGGGATATCGCTAGATAGTCAACGGTCGTCTTATCTGATTAGCCACTGCACACCCGCCAGATATCCCATGACACGTGACCCTGTTTTGACAAATCATACAGTTGCTAGCTAGATAGCGATATATTAATATTTGTTGATGTTCACCTACATATAAGGGATATCTATGCACTTTGCATTAATTGTTGCAGGAAAACCAGAACAGAAGTCAATATTTGAGTTGATATTTTATTTGGTTATGCATATTTCATGGGATCTGTCTGGATTACTTCCGGTGTTTTACGTCAAAATAATACACTGGACATTAAAGGGTGATTTCCCGAATTGACATTCGTAATAAAGACAAAATGCAAAGGGATTTAATTTTGAAAATGCCATTTTCCGGACATGTTATAGAGACATCTTCAATTTAGAGATTATCGTAGAGTAATTCATTTCTTATAAATGCTCAAAATGCCCAAGAGTCGATTCGTTTCATTGATCTGGAAAATCCTCTTTTGATACATTCCCGATACATTACAGCAAGGGATCATTGACTCGCTTGTTTTATTAGAAAATCGGACCCTTTACTCATATGCCAGCTATAGTAAAGAAAAAAGCTATATATTAAAAGAACTTCTGCAATCATTCAAGCCAAATATGCATCAATATAACTAGATTAATCCGTAACGATTGGTTGGCTCAAGCATTAAAGTATGGTTTGACTCGTATATCAAATGACACAATTAATCGAATTTCGAAATTAAACTACTTATTTTATAATATGAACAACTAGTTTGTTGAAATAAACAAGTAAACCAACTTACAAAACAGCAAACTCTAGTTAATCACCATTTGAAACAGTTATCTGACAAAGGGAAAAAGTACAATCTCAACACATTGAATTACATGCTAGCCAGGTGAATTTGATGAAAATCACTGTTCAAGCGCCTTGGATAGGACATGGGTGATGGGCATCATCTTTGGGAAATCTCCCCTCCCCTGGGTGATGGGTATCGAACATAATGAAGTTGACACTTTCTGGAATTTACAGAGTAGCATTGACATTAGAGCGAATACGCGTATGAAACTGCGTAATTTGGCGTTGAGCTTTAACCGTTTACATTTTGCTGTATTTGGTCAAGTGAGTTTTTAGATAATATATTCAATGAGCAAGGTGAAAAATTGCTCATTAAACAATAGGCCAAAAGTGAAAGCTGCATGAGCGAATATGAAAAACTGGACACATGTTTGATGTAACTGCAAAAGAAAATTCATTGGTTGCTCAATTGTCTATATACTTTTGCTACTAAACGTGATTGATTGTATTCTAGGCTTGTATCTAGATATTCTGATATTGTCTAATTGCATTTAATCGGCTCAGGGGCTTTGTAGAATGCCAAATGCCACAGAATCGATATGCTCCAGGGCATTTAGCAGACACAGACGAAATGGGTCTTGAAATCGTGTTTGACTTGGACTTGAGAAAATACTAGGTAATTCACATATTTTGCTCGGTTGCATTTAACAAAAGTTTCTTCATTAGATTAGCAGTCGAACGTCTGTTTTAAGATGTAAAGCGTTTCCATGATTGCATTTCAATTTTGTTCCCCATATGTATCAAGTATGAAGTTTATAAATTTTCAAAATCTTGACGCTCTGTCTAAAAGAGAACCATCGGTTGTAAAATCTTTGGAGGGGAGTGTGTGCTTCAATGCCATTGTCGCACGAGGAGATAAATATTGATAATCTCAACAAATTCGAAAATTAAAAAGAACTCTACATGAAAATAGGTTTTCGCGGAGAAATCTGATATCCAAAGTAGAATAAACCTACTTCTTCGAAATTGATTTTTAGTTTCTCTATTGATGAATGTAGTTATTTGGAGACAAAATGTCTGTCTGGAGAAATACTCACGGGCTTTCAACTTTAAAACATAAAACATTTTTAATCCCATTTTGGATATAAGTATGCTTGGATTGGTAATTAGGTGAAATGCACTACACAAATCGTATACAAAGTACTTAAACAGTTAAAACTGGTGCCTGTTGGTATCATTATGCAGGAATAGCAAAGGTACGATAAGAATCGTACGTATTAGATGGTAGTCACAAGTCGTTCTTTTATAGTAGACTGTAAACAATGATCGAGGCATCGATTTGGTTTTGATGTCATTCGAGAAGGAATGTCTGATATACACATCAAATAAACCTTATATAACAAAATATATTAAGTATGTGCATAATAATCTATATGTTTGATGAACAAACTTTGTTTAAAGAGGAAAGTGTTACATGATAACAATATTATACCATACATTGGCGACATCTTTAAATGGTGTAAAACGTATTGCATATTGACATATTGAACATTCCAATGCCATCTTTATTCTTTAATGCGAACTTTTTGTTAATGACATGTTACTGACAAGTTGCTCCTCACAGCCTCAAATTTTAATATTTTGCAATTACATTTGTAACTATGGTTTTTAATTTTGTTGAAATGATATTGATATGACTCTAATGTTCAATAGAAATATCAGTAAGAGTGTAGATTTTTTATATAAGCATAACAAAATTGAATAAAAACTGTACTTTCAAAGTCCGAATAGAAAATTGCAAAATCAAGCAGGAAATATGAAATATCAAACTGAATAAATTGAAAAATCGACTAAAAACGCAAAAATGCCATAGACGAGCGCACCGTGCTTCCAATTTCTGTAATATGCAATGTAACATTATTCTGACTTGTTTTTTAGGCAGATTGAAGTGATTCTATGAAGCCTTCCATAAAACAATTATAAATAGCTCTCATGTGTCCGCCCGGTGATCGGGAAAATGAAACAGCCGATTTCTCCTAGAAAATTCAACAAATCTGCAGATTTATTTTTTCATTGGAAAGTTTGCGAAAGGATACACTTCCAAGGTGTGAGATATTAAAAAATGTAAAATGAAGAAATCAGGATAAAACAAATCGTAAAATACTTTTCAATAGCGTGCACTTTTTTATTCAGCGAATAATTTGTAAACTTTCTCGTGAAAAATAATATCGCAGATTTGTTTTTTTCTAGCAGAAATCTGCCTCTCCCCCTCCGTTTATTTTTTCGATCACGAGGCATGTGTATAGCAATCTCTTAAACCGCATAATGAGAAATCATAGCCATATATGCATATTAAACTTTCCTTAATCCTCGTTGAAAACAAAAAGGAATGATGGCTCTCAGAATGGCAAAACCGATTGCTTAATTTGGCCTCATGAAGTGCCAATAGATGGCAGACAAGTGGAAATTGTGTATACGGAATCACATTACCAAAAATAATTCAACCTTCAATTTAAACACGTAGGCGGTAGTAGAGAAAGGGATATCACTTTGTATAATAGAGTTTAGGTTTAAGTAATATCTTTATATTAATTTATTATGACAAACGTGAACATTCAATGATTATATTATTTTTCTTGTCTGACTTCAAAGAAATCATGATAAATGTATACTTATAAGTTTATTTTCTGTAAATAGACGAATGTGAATCATGTATATTAAGTTCTTCAAAATTTGCACAAAGCAGGAGGAACGACAACGCAAAGCAATACTACACACAGGGTATGTAAAAACGGAGTGCATCCAGAAGTAATCCCTTTAGACTGAAAAATGTCTTTCTTATATACGCGTCCATATAATGTAGCAGACAACAGCGGTTTTTCGATCCCTCTGTATGATTTTATAAAAGCCCTAAATAGAGAATCCTTTGATATTAAATCGTCGTCCCCGTAGCTCCAATGTTTGGGGGCTACATCCATGTCCGTTGCAACAACAGATGGGTATACATATCTTGTTGAAAAGCTACCAGCGAGAATTAGTTTGTTGAACAGTGGAGCTATAATTCTATGCACTTTTATACATTCTCTAGTGCCATCTATCGGGCACTGCAATACTGTACATATTTGACTATAAATTTTTGTATTTGCAATACTGCGGTGTTCCTGATAACCATTATAAAATCCTAGACTATAGAGTCGTGTTTCCCCTGTAAACTCATAGATGGCGTGACAACATACATCCCCTTCACAAATGGAGACGTTTCCCTCTAGTCCGGTTAAAGGTGAAACTTTAAAAACCCCGCCATTGATTGATTTTTCATAGATGATGGTTTTGTTACTGGGACCAGAGATATCCCTGGTTGGCATTAATTCAACTTGTCTCTTAGGAGGATTTCGGGGAAGTCTTGCAACTAGAAGCATACCAGTTTGAAGCTTTATAGCTTCCGCTGTACCATCATTATAGTTAAACACAGTATTGTTGTGATAATAAATCTTTGCTCCATCCGCGCCAGAAAATAGTCCACTTCCAGTTCTATAAGAACCCGGATTATGCAAAGTGGCAGTAATGATATTCACTCCGTGTCTTATTCCCCAAGATTGTAACCATTGTGACGAAGCCATTAATGGAGGCGCTCCATCCCAAGAGGACGGGACAACTAAATTATGGGCATCATACCTAAGAGACAGTATGACAGCGGGATTCTCGAGTAAAACCTCCGGACCGGTAAATGTTGCATAGTAAGAGAATCTTTTTGGTGTACATTTACTTGGACTGTTGAGCCATTTGGTTTCAATGACCGATCGGTGGCACTTGGGGTATGTGGACATGAGAAAACCATCGGGTCTAAATGCAATGTGAGTACTGAAGAAGTAATAGCCATCCGAGTGGCAGTGACCCTGTTTACCATCACACTTCTTCCTGTTTAGCATGTTAGCAACAATGATCATGTGGTTGGTATGGGCGAAACAGCTAAGCCTTGAGAAAATGGGAGTGTTGTTTCGAGCATACTGCTCAATACATGGCGCCTTTTTGAATTCGTACTCCTCGGGGATGTCCTCACTGTAAAGTCTCGCGTATTCTCGAGATTTCACTAAACCCTGGAGACCATATTCGGGAAACACGATCACCTCTGCGCCCTGAAAGATAAATCATCCTGTTGATTACAATCTTACCAATACAGAAATGTATCGTATATTGCCCTGCTCAGTCGGTATGCTTATGTTGTGGTATTAGATCGATCGATAGAAGAACAAATACTCAATTCCATAGAGGCAGTTATTAATCAGATTTCGCTAAAAGAACTATTGATGGATTTCAAAATGTAATAAATTTTGTCATCACATGGCATTCATTCACACAATCGAGCTACTAGAACCAGATTGTATTGATTTCTGCACAGTTCGATTTCATGAGACTAATAAACGAGCCCCGGGGGGTTCACTATATATAAACCTTGACGGGGATCCTCGGCGCATGTGGGGTACCTTTTTCAACATTTGGTATGGCAATGGACCCATATTTTAGGATTTGGTATGGGAATGCCCGGAAATTTCTGACTTCTGAGGTATGGCAATGGTCGGACTTTTGCTCTTCTGGTATGAGAATGGTCGTTGTAGATACGTTACCTAACATTCGTGGTATGGCATTGGTCCAGTAGTTGCAAATTTGAAGTTGTTTTGGATCGTTTTTCATTTCCAGGGCCTTCTTCAACTTTTTATATGGTATGGCATTGGTCCTACATTTTGACATTTGGTATGGCATTGGTCCCATAATTGGGCATTTGGTATGACATTGGTCCTATATTTGGACATTTGGTATGGCATTGGTCCTATATTTAGACATTTGGTATGGCCTTTGGGCGTTATTTTGGTTGGTATGGGAACATATTGAAATTTGACAGATTGGTATGGGAACATATTGATATTTGAGGCTTCAGCCTATGACCCCCGTCGAGTTTTATATACAGTGAACCCCCCGGGAAACGAGCTTGATGAATACTGGCCAATGGGGTATCATAAGTAACCGATATAGGCCAAACCAACTGGAAATGGAAAATATATGCGAACAAAATGTTTCAAAAATCTGCTTTGTACAGTATTTACATGGAATTCTGATGCGTATGACACATAAAATGGAGTTCAATACAAGATCGTGTACGGTTACAATAAGAGCCAAGCAAAGTGGTATACACTAGCCTTTTAACATTTATTGTAAAAAAATCCCCAGATGATGTCGTTGTCGAATTATATTTTGATGTTACTTGATTCTTTATAACATTCAAACGCAGATGCAACCAGCAAGACAACTCTGAACACACAGCAACACTTTGCTATTTGTCCAGTGCGTCATCAAGAGTACATGAACTAGTTGTGTTTGGGGAGGGCTTGTCAAAAACACAATTTGAACATTTTTTGTTACATGACAGAATAAATCCCGGATCAACGATGAAAATATATTCATCAAGTATGTAATTGGAAATAGGCTCAGTTGACTCAGTTGTATCATTATGAGCAACCTTAATCCTCCTTTAGGACTCCCCCTTTGACGTTCGTATTTTCTCTGCATGCTTAATTAAGTGATTTTCACATATTGATCCATTGGGCTACTTAGTTAACAAGACAAATAGTTACATTTCATTAAAGTCAAAGGGTGATGAATGTAGCGTATTACTACGTAACTAGCCCTAATCCAATCCATTTTACGTCTGGTTACCACCTGCTCATTTTACAAATCACCGATGACAAATTGAATAAAGATATATTAAGACCCAATTGAAGCAATTTTCCGGAAGATTCTTTTGAGATTCAGTTCTGATTTTAGATTAAACTACAGACGCTATTAGGAAACGGAATGACTTCAGAATTGACAAGCATGATTTCTATTGAGATTCGAAATATATTGCCCCGACGAGTTAATTAAAGCTACTCCCGCCAGACTATATCTATGTAATTTGGTACGACTATCTCGAGATATACCATTAATATAATCTTAATCGTCTTTTTAGAACCCCTGAAAAAGAAGTGAAACGTTTAGTTTGGGATATTTTTAATATACGATTCGAGTCAATTATCTCTAAAAGTAAGGAATCAACTATTATTTGTATTATCCTTTCTATATCATCGAGTGTTCTTGCATGCTCAATTGCTCATATGTCTGCCCTCTAAAGCTACGATCCCATAACACTTCATACATGCTCATATGTCTGCCCTCTAAAGCCACGATCCCATAACACTTCATACATGCTCATATGTCTGCTATCTTAAAGCTGCGACCCCAAAACACTTCATACATGCTCATATCTCTGCCATCTTAAAGCTACGATCCCATAACACTTCATCCATGCTCATATCTCTGCCCTCTTAAAGCTACGACCCCATAACACTTCATACATGCTCATATGTCTGCCATCTTAAAGCTGCGACCCCAAAACACTTCATACATGTTCATATGTCTGCCCTCTTAAAGCTACGACACCATAACACTTGATACATGCTCATATGTCTGCCCTCTTAAAGCTACGACCCCATAACATTTCATTCATGCTCATATGTCTGCCCTCTTAAAGCTGCGACCCCAAAACACTTCATACATGCTCATATGTCTGCCCTCTAAAGCTACGACCCCGTAATACTTCATACATGCTCATGTGTCTGCCATCTTAAAGCTTCGACACCATAACACTTGATACATGCTCATGTGTCTGCCATCTGAATACTTTTGGAGGCTCTATAGAGGGAGGGGGGGGGGGCGATTATAAATTTAAATTTTTTTTTTTTAAAATTCATTTCTATTATTTATGACTAAGTATTAAAGTCACTTTAGAGATTTTTGAAAAATTCTTTGGGGAAAAAATTGTCAGGTTCTTATTTTTCAAATACCCAAATATTCCGCCATTTTTCAAATAAAAGTTGAAATTTTTAACCATCAAATATTCCACTATCCAGTGAAAAACACATTATCTTATTGAATGTGTCACTTAAATGTTTTAGCATATTAAACAAATGTTGCACCCTACGTGACATCATCGTGAACAAAAAGTCCTTCAAAAAGCACTTTTTGAAAATGAAAAAAAGTTTCACATGTCACATTTTTATAATATTGGGTAAGGTACTGCAATATAAGACTATAATATTAGCCAAAGTGGTTTAAACTTTACTATACGAATGTCCAAAGGCAACCGTGGTATTTTAACCCCAAAGATAAAGGCAAAATAAAATGAGGTAGGTGCCAAACCCCCACGCCCTTGAACCAGACAAAACATTATTTTTGTAGTTTTCGTATTCTTTGGAAGAATTGTTAAAGTCCCCGTCTAAAGTTTCAAAATATTTTTTTATCATTCATTTACTATTTGTCAGGACTTAAAAAGTGATTTTAGAGATTTTTGAACAAAAAAAGAATTTTGAAAAAAAAGTTGTGAGCATTTCATTTCTCAAATATTCAAATTTCAAATTAATAAAATGCCATATTTAATGGGCCACTTCAATGTTTTAACATATCAAAAATATTTTGAAACATTAGTGATGTCACTAAGGTACCAAAAAATTTTTGAAAATTTTTTTTCGATGTCAATCTTTTCTAAATATGTTAGACTTTCATAAAAACCAATGTTGATTGTCTTACCAGGTTAAAAGGAAGAATAAATTATGTTTTAGATATCATTGTACCATTGGTTTCTATGAGAACTAAAATTTTGAAATGCATTTTTCTCAGAACCATTTTCATGCACTGATAAGTTCATTTCTCGCTTATTTATGAACCGATTTTCTTAATTCTTTCGGCAAAAAACATGGGAGGATGAATGCTATGCATTGGTATGAATTGTGGCTAATTAAAAGATATGAGTGACCTCTAAAAGTTGGTTTTAAATAAATGCACAAATTTTGGAACAAAAAGTCTATCAAAAACCACTTTTTGAAATTAAAAAAAAAAGTTTCACATATCACACTTTGATAACATTGGGTAAGACTACAATATAAGCCAAAGTGGTTTAAACTTTAGATGGGGCCTTTAACAATGAACTTCATTTAAGCACAACTTAATCGCAAGACCGTTAATCGTTAAATTTCGGTATCAGATTTGGCGCCGAAGCTAATTGTATTTTCTTTGTTTATCTACACCTTTAAACTTAAATCAGCAATTTAGAAAAGTTAAATTTTCTTCCGGCAAATCGTTAATAATGCAATTTCAAAACTCTTTTGTCAATTCATCATCATCATTGACAATGTTTTTCCAAGAAAAGTGTGTAAGTTTGAGATATGATTGCTAATAATATATGTAATGGGAACAATAAAGACGATACTCATATGATGGTAAAGGATTTCAGAAAATTGTTAGTTTGACCAAAACAGTTTCAGCTGCTCAAACAACTGAACTCATTGGACGTCGAAGACGCGAATATGCATTATGAACGTTTTTGGAAGGTTTGCTATTGAGAAGCTATTAACACATTTTCATTACCTTAAATCTAGCTTCAATTGCTGCTTCTTCATAAGCATCCAAATTAGAATTCATGATGTGTCTTGCCTGAGCTAGCGTCGGAATTTTATCCTCCGTTGGGAATTCATAGGGTGAGTGTTCGAATACTGCCGCTATATATGTTACTCCACATTGCACGAGAGGTATAATCAACAATGTCACGAGGGAAATAACTTGCTGTTTACACAAAACCTCCATAGCAGCTCTCAAACGAACCTAGATGAATTGTCGAGTAGCATGGTAAACTATAAGTTCATGTAACATGTACTCCAAGCTCTCGCCTACCCTCATTTTCCTCCTTCATTTTCATTGGAAAAGTGTTTTGTGTAAAACTTATAAATATCCGACTTAGTTAATATTATTTCCACGCCTGAGATGACAGGCTTTGTCACAATACGCCCTTCGTACGTAAAACGTAAGGTGCCATTTTCTCCAAGAATCCTTCAAGCCGAACCAAGTTTCTCAAATGTAATATCCGGTGTCCCAACACATCGCCTTGTAGAACTTCTACGGACTTTGGCCGATATCGATTTCCTAAATATCGAATTCCGAATTAATAATTTCGGAACAATTTATAAATCCTTTAATCTCAACTGTGTATTATTACCTGGATTGTGCTGAATCCCTTGGTGAGATTCATTAGTCGTATATCTATTCGATAACTATAGAAATGCCTCTGTTTACAAAGGGAATAACATGAAGAAGTAATCTTTGGAATGCCTTCTTGTTTAATTATAAGCTACAGTATCAAAGCGGACTGGAAGAAACTTCACATCTGAACAATGTCATTTGTACAATATCATATCATTAATAATTTGATTCATGTCTTCCGAACAAACAATGAAACATACTGTATAATTGATGCTAATTATTTGACGTCTCATCAATGATACAATGCTAATTGTTCAAAAATGTGCTACATGTATATTAAAGGTAATTGTTCAAAAATGCGCTACACGTATGCTACACGTATAATAATAGTGATTGTTCAAAATGTGCTACACGTATACTAATGGTAATTGTTCACTAATGAGTTACATAGTAATGCTAATCGTTTGCATATGTGTTACACATATATTTATGTAGAACACAATACTAATCTTCCTTATATCTGCTACACGTATACAATGCTAATCGTTAACAAGTTACACGTAGAACACTATGCTAATTTCCTTATACAGTACATGCTACGCGTATACAATGCTAATTTCCTTATATCTGCTACACGTATACAATGCTAATCTCCCTTATATCTGCTACACATATACAATGCTAATCATTCATAAATGTGCTACATGACGTAGAATACAATGCTAATCGTTAACAAGTTACACGTAGAACACTATGCTAATTTCCTTATACAGTACATGCTACGCGTATACAATGCTAATTTTCTTATATCTGCTACGCGTATACAATGCTAATTTTCTTATATCTGCTACACGTATACAATGCTAATCTCCCTTATATCTGCTACACGTATACACTGCTAATTTTCACAAATGTGCTACACGTATACGATGCTAATCATTCCCAAAATTAATGTGCTACACGTGGAATACAATGCTCATTTCCTTATACCTGCTACACGTATACAATGCTAATTTCCCTTATATCTGCAACACATATACAATGCTAATCATTCATAAATGTGCTGCATGGCGTAGAATACAATGCTAATCTCCCTTATATCTGCTACACGTATACAATGCTAATTTCCTTATATCTGCAACACATATACAATGCTAATCATTCATAAATGTGCTGCATGGCGTAGAATACAATGCTAATCTCCCTTATTTCTGCTACACGTATACACTGCTAATCTTCACAAATGTGCTACACGTATACGATGCTAATCATTCCCAAAATTAATGTGCTACACGTAGAATACAATGCTAATTTCCTTATACCTGCTACACGTATACAATGCTAATCTTCTTATATCTGCTACACGTATACAATGCTAATCTTCTTATATCTGCTACACGTATACAATGCTAATCTCCCTTATATCTGTTACACGTATACAATGCCAGTCGCTCACTAATGTGCTACGTGATTACAAATGTTAATATCCCACAAATGTGCTACATTCACCCAATGCTACTCGTTCGTACATGCGCTACAGATATACTACTTATTCATGATATACTGATGCAAATCTTCAAACGCTCCATATTCTGATGCTACACAATCCAGGCTACATCCATATTCTGTAACTCTATTCTAATGTTTTCCCCACACAGGTCCAAAGCTACACGTATTTAGATATTTATTTTAAGTAAAACACATACAATGCATATTTTGCGATATTTGAAATCATAGTTTTAATCCTTGTTAACATTCATTGCAATATTGTAATTGGGCGATAATAGCCGTCCTTATCCGAGAACTCGTTGATTTTCGCCAATGTATTGATAGAATCGATATCTTGCAATAATCCAAAGAGCTCTAGAAATGTAGAATCGGACCGAAAAGGCATTGATCAACATGGTATTCTAAGAGCAACGTGTCCCTTGAGAAAACCCAAAGGGAGCAATTCATCTATTTTTACATCGCATAAAACATCATACTTCAATCAGAGTCTCAAACGAACTAATCGTTTTGTACTCCTGAATTATTTTATATTTCCATGGCCACTTAGTGCCTGTCAAGAAATTGTCTTATCAAGATGACATGGATTCCTCTAAGGCAATCACTTCGTAGAATTATGTCTAGCAGGGGTTCCCATTGAGTCAGTCAAGCATAAACGGCATTATGAAGCCCATGACATTTGTGTTATCTTGTTAGATATTAATACACATTCATTCAAACTCGGATGGTTTAGCAGTTTTTATTTATATTTCTGTTCTGTTCTATTCTATTCTATTTCATTCTATTCTATTATATTCTGTTCTATTCTATTTCATTCTATTATATTTTATTGCATTATATTCTGTTCTATTCTATTTCATTGTATTCTATTCTGTTCTATTCTATTCTATTTCATTATATTCTATTATATGTTGTTCTATTCTATTTCATTCTATTCTATTCTTTAATGTTTCATTCTATCCTATTCTTTTCTGTTCTATTCTATTCTATTTCATTCTATTCTATTATTTTATATTCTATTCTATTATATTCTGTTATTTTCTATTTCATTCTATTCTATTCTGTTATATTCTATTCTAGTATATTCTGTTATATTCTGTTCTATGCTATCCTATTTCATTCTATTATATTATATTATGTTACATTCTAGTCTATTATATTCTGTTATATTATATTCTATTCTATTTCATAGAAATGAGCCCCATAAACATGTCTTAACAGGTAACTTAGACATAATACCTGATAGTAAACTTAGAAATTTAATTAAGAAAGGCCATAAATTTCGTGAATCCAATCCAATTTTATGGCGTTATGATAAAAAATTATTTTTGAAGCAGTTGAAAAATATGCTCGAGATTGGTTGAAAAAAGAGCATGCTGATAAATCTGCATGAGATGAATGGGTACTTAAAATTAAGGATATCGTAAATAGAAGAATAATGAAACTTAAAAGTCAAAATATTGAAAGTACCAGCAAAGTTTTAGATGATCCAAAAGTTATTGGATATTTGGAAGAATTCCATAAAAAGTCTGTATTGGTCCCTGCAGACAAAGCTGCTAATAATGTAATAGTGATTTGTAAAAAGTTTTATTTGTCTATAATCATGGCTGAATTAGGTATTTCAAATCATAATGTTGTAAATAAGACATATTTTAAGGTTAATTCTAATGAAAGGGAAATAGTCAAGAACCATCTAAATTTTTTGAATAATTATAAGATAAAACCAACAGACAAACAGGAACATTTGCCCAAAATTTACTGGACACCAAAGTTACATAAAGCCCCTTATAAAGCTAGGTTTATTGCTGGGTCTAGAGTCTGTTCCACTAAAAAAGTTTCTGGACTATTGACAAGGTGTTTTCAAGCTGTTAAAAATAATAGGGAGGCTTATTGTAAGGCTATTTTTTTAGAAATTCCGGGGTTAGCCATATGTGGATCCTTAAAAATTCCAAAGATCTTTTATCAAAATTTAATGACTCGATTTATTCAAAAGTTAAATGTATTTCAACGTGGGATTTTTCTACACTTTACACATCAATTCCTCATGACAAGTTAAAATATGAAATATTTGGAATCATTAAAAAGACAATGATGGGTTGTAAATTTAAATATGTTAACTGTAATTCAAATAGGGCTTTCTTTTCTAGTGAACAATATGATAAATATATTTCTTTCACTGCAGTACAATTCTGTGAGGTGTTAGGCTTTCTTATTGATAATATATTTGTTAAGTTTGGAAGTACAGTTTTACGTCAGAATGTAGGTATACCAATGGGTACAGATTGTGCTCCTCTTTTAGCAGATCTTTTTCTATTCTCGTTTTAGTATAAATTTTTACAAAGGATGATGAAAGATAAAAGTAAATTTCATATTGCAAAGTTATTTAATAAGACAGATCGATATATTGATGACTTGTTGAGTTTAGACAACCCAAAATTTAAAGACTTTGTAGGTGAGATATAATTATCCTAGTGAGCTAGAATTGAAAAAACTAATGAATCTGATATGAGTGCACCTTATCTTGATCTTCTTATTAACATTGAACCAGACAATAGTATATATTGTAAATTATATGACAAAAGAGATGAATTTAAATTTGACATAGTTAACTTTCCACATTTGGATAGCAATATTCCACTTAACCCAGCATATGGGGTTTATGTATCCCAGCTTAATAGATATAGCAGGGCGTGCTCAAAATATCTAGATTTCAAATCAAGACACCATATTTTAGTGATCAAGCTTTTAGGTCAAGGTTATACTTGTAAAAAACTTAAGAAATACTTTCTGGGCTTTGCTGAAAAGTACAAGTCATTAATTTCGAAATTTCAAGTTTTACCACTTGAGATGCTGAAGGATGTAGGAATGGTATAATTAAATTGGCAATGAACTCACAATTTTTTCACTTGGCACCTTTTGAGGTGGATCCCGGCTATGACATTAATGGTTGAGAAATAGGGATCGAAACCAGCCATAGTTTTCTCCTGATGACCATTGTGAATTGTTGTGTTTTATGGATAATGATGACGGCTTTGCGAACGGATGTTGACCCTTTGAATTGCCTATGGACTTCGAGACTGGATTTTATCTATCCCACATCATTTTATGAGTACTAGTATCTACAACTATTTTTGATGTTATGAGTATTGGCTATCAATTTTTTCAATTTTTCTTCAACATGTATTGTAATGACTTCAGTATGAATGAAATGTCCCTTGGTGTTCTGGTCCTGGATTGTGATATTGGTTCTCGATTGGAGGGGAGGGGGATGTTAGACATTGTTTCTTTTCACGTTAGATTATGGTTTTGGGCCATGGGATATATACTTTAGGGTTTACTTTTCTTATGACAGATTTACACTTAGAGTTTGCTTTTCTTGTTGGGTTTCTTTAAAGTTTTTAGTCACCCTTCCCTTTGGCATTTTTGCTTATATTCTATTATATTCTCTCATATTCTGTTATATTCTATTATATTCTATTCTATTTAATTATATTCTATTATATTCTGTCATAGAATATATTCTGAATATCATTTTGATACATTTAATTGTATTTTGTTCTAATCTCTTATATATGAAGAGAACGTTTATATTACAAATTCATAGAATAGGCAAATTCAAAGAATCACCTTTACAAATTCATCGGATAGGCAAATTCAAAGAAACGCCTTTACAAATTCATCGTATAGGCAAATTCAAGAATCACCTTTACAAATTTATCGGATAGGCAAATTCAAAGAATCACCTTTACAAATTCATCGGATAAGCAAATTCAAAGAATCACCTTTACAAATTCATCAGATATGCAAATTCAAGAATAACCTTTACAAATTCATCGGATAGGCAAATTCAAAGAATCACCTTTACAAATTCATCAGATATGCAAATTCAAGAATCACCTTTACAAATTCATCGGATAGGCAAATTCAAGAATCACCTTTACAAATTCATTGAATAGGCAAATTCGAGAATCACCTTTACAAATTCATAGGATAGGCAAATTCAAAGAATCACCTTGACAAATTCATCGGATAGGTAAATTCAAGAATCACCTTTACAAATTCATCGGATAGGCAAATTCAAAGAATCACCTTTACAAATTCATCGGATATGCAAATTCAAGAATCCCCTTTACAAATTCATCGGATAGGCAAATTCAAGAATCACCTTTACAAATTCATAGGATAGGCAAATTCAAAGAATCACCTTTACAAATTCATCGGATATGCAAATTCAAGAATCCCCTTTACAAATTCATCGGATAGGCAAATTCAAAGAATCACCTTTACAAATTCATCGTATATGCAAATTCAAGAATCACCTTTACAAATTCATCGTATAGGCAAATTCAAGAATCACCTTTACAAATTTATCGGATAGGCAAATTCAAAGAATCTCCTTTACAAATTCATCGGATAGGCAAATTCAATAATCACCTTTACATAACATTTGAAGAATGTAGATGAATCAATTATTCTGTAATGCGCAGTCAAACATTTTGCGATTGGTAAGAATTAACTAAGTTCGTGGAATACGAAAATTCACTATTTCCTTATGTGTGTAACAACCCTGAGGACGCTCGTCCGGGAGTAGTAGTGTCACAAGCCAGATACTGGACATGGAAGGGGGTGTGCTAAATTTGATGCCATGCGGGAATCGAACATAAGATCTTCCTCCCCATAGACCGATGCTTTACCCCCGGGCCATTAGGGCTAGCCACTACAGCTGAGACTGTAATGGCAACTTCCTATCGAGAGTCATCTGACATGTGTTATATAATTACCTGACAAGTTTTGTCTCACTAAAAAAACTAAAATACACATTACAGATATTGAAAGGGAATAGCTTATAGAACGATACTTTATCAGAGATAGGGCTACCTGGTATTCATAATAATTAATAAATGATTGGAAAACACAAGTCCTAAAACACAAGTAGATACTCGATTATATGCTGATTAAAGCTAGAGTGCACTCTAGATAACAGCTACTAAATAATTTAAATTGATAAAACTTACCAATTTAAACCTGATCACACCCGTGAATGATACATCTCATCAAACACAATTTAGGAGTTTAGAGTCACAACGAGTTTCCAGTTTAAAGACAGCATTATTAGCTAAAAAGTCAAATTATAGAAAGGCGACTTTTAACATATTGAATATGAATTTGAGTCAAATTAATTTATATCTTGGCTTATTTCTTTTATGCCTCATTTCTATGGTTACGAGCTCGAAGGACCGTTGGATAGATATGACACATGAAATGAGCAACGGGGCAGTAATAGGGGGACGATATGAACATAATGTAACGTTCCGAGGGGAGAGGGGAAGAAATCCAAGCCGATATTGGTATGTATATCTCAATACTGACAGGGGACATGGGCTGATTAAAAATTTTAATTTCTTGTTTGTTCTTTTGTGTAACAAAGGCTGGATCTTTAAGATTAAGTCAGACATCGTGGTATTAAATTTCAATTTAAATATAATTTGATTACTTTGGTCATTTATTGCCGCTAGAATTGAGGGGAGGGGTCAAAATTTAGACAGTTCTATAAATCAGTTATTTGTAAGTTCAAGTTTACAATTGACTTTTTAGGGCAAACAGAAAAAATCGGAACAATGTAGTTAACTTCCAAAGAACCATTTAATATCCTGTCTCTCGTTCATAATGTTGTTATATGCGCCCAGACAACTCGTTTTACAATGTGTTCGGTTGAACTTCAAAACAACTCTTTTACTGTGTCCTTTAAATTCCAAACAATTGTTTTATAAATTGGCTACTAATAAACTAATAGTTGACTCCCAACTAACTCCTTTTAAACCTTGAATGTTTAACTTTCAAACATTTCTTTTGCGACATGGCTTATTTCCAACCAACTCTTTTTAGAACGTGGTAAACCTTGAAACAGTTCTTTTGTGGTGTGGTTTACTTCCAATCGACTCTTTGTACAACGTGGTAAACTTTCAAACAGTTATCTTGCGGTGTGGTTTACTTCAAACCAACTCTTCACAACGTGGTAAACCTTGAAACAGTTCTTTTGCGACGTGGCTTATTTCCAACCAACTCTTTCTACAACGTGGTAAACAGTTCTTGCCAACCACCATTCTATAATTTACCTAACTTCTTTGCAACTCTTCTGCCTCTCTTCTTCAAGGTACGAGGACGGGGAGGTTTATGTTGCTGAACACACCGGGACGCATTTTGCCGCACCTTGTCACTTTGCCAGAGGCAAATGGAGAATGGAGGACATTCCCCCAGAGAGATTAATCCAACAGGTACGTGGGGTATAGATATTACAAGGCCAAGTTTATTTTGTCTTTCATTGACCACAGGTAATGTGGGCTATACAGGATTAGCCACAAAAGGTAACCCAAACAAATCGTAATAATTCCGTCTTCCAAGGTGGATTTGAAATCATATTTCGCACAATTAAACCTTGTTCAATGTTCTTTTATTCTACTAAGTTTCATTACTTCTAATGGTCACGATTCTATGTTCATTTTAAAAAGCATGCTCCATGCCGAAAAATCACCCGATATGAATCCCCAAACTTTTATCTTTGGAACCATTTCAAAGATATTGCCAACAGTCATTTACTACTCTAGAAGCATGGGCATAGTGAGAGGGGTTTTGTCGGCCTCATGCGAACTCCCATTTGTCTTGAACCCCCCCCCCTTCTTTATAAAACAAACACCTGGCCGGTAACAACCCTCATTCTAAAAGATCAACATACCAAAGGCTGGGAACGCAGTGAACACCGAGCGTGCGAAGATGCTACAAACGTTATACATATTTATTTGAACTATGATATTCATATCAAACTTTGCAAACTTCCAAACAAATCGTAATAATTCCGTATTCCAAGGTGGATTTGAAATCATATTTCGCACAATTAAACCTTGTTCAATGTTCTTTTATTCTACTAAGTTTCATTACTTCTAATGGTCACGATTCTATGTTCATTTTAAAAAGCATGCTCCATGCCGAAAAATCACCCGATATGAATCCCCAAACTTTTATCTTTGGAACCATTTCAAAGATATTGCCAACAGTCATTTACTACTCTAGAAGCATGGGCATAGTGAGAGGGGTTTTGCCGGCCTCATGCGAACTCCCATTTGTCTTGAACCCCCCCCCCTTCTTTATAAAACAAACACCTGGCCGGTAACAACCCTCATTTTAAAAGATCAACATACCAAAGGCTGGGAACGCAGTGAACACCGAGCGTGCGAAGATGCTACAAACGTTATACATATTTATTTGAACTATGATATTCATATCAAACTTTGCAAACTTTTAAAATCTCTGGTTCATATAACCTTACACGTATCCGACCCATTACTTTATTTAGTCGATGAAATAGCCTGTCTGTATATTTTGCTATTTTATCATGATGTTCCGCACATTCCAGGCTTTTGTGGTCGACGTGTCAGCCTCTGTTGCGAGAGATCAATCATACGAGATCCTACCTAAAGACCTAATCGAGTGGGACAAAAAGAATAGACGGACAATCCCTCCTCTCTCTATCTTGCTCTTTCACACCGGAATGGGACAACACTATTTCGACAAGACCAGATATATGGGCACAAATAATGTCTCAAATCGCGCTGCGGTGAAGTATCCTGGAATACACGTTGATACCGCAAATTGGATCGTCCAAAATATGAACATATCTGGAGTCGGCATCGACTCTTACAGTGTGGAAGGCGTGAGAACCTGGAGAGATGAAACATACTTGACTCAAAGAGCCTTAGCCGCAGATAATATTTACTATATAGAAAATATGGTTAATCTTGATAAAATCCATCACTATAGGTCAACACTGTTTGTTGGACCGATGAAGATAAAGGGCGGGAGTGGTTCACCAGTGAGAGTGTTGGCGTTTGGACGGCCACCTAAGAGTGACGCGTCAGCCTCAAATCTCTCCATTTTAACAACAGTCTGCGTGCTTTCCTTCAACGCATTATATCAGTTGTTTATGAGATTGGCATAAGCAAACAGTTGAAACAATTCAAGGAAAGTACCACTTTCCGCACCGCTTCTGTAGTATGCATTGTCCACTTTTTGTAGCACTTTTGGAATCTTGTTTTGTATGCGATTTCTGTACTGTTTTTATTTTTCACTTTTCGATAAATTCCAGATTTTGATATGATTGAAAAAATGATACATACTGTACCTACAAACATACATGTCGCCTGTTGATTATAATGTATTTATTCGTTTAATCTACATGAAAAACATAAAACTTCATTTTCCATCAACAGTGACTTATAAAAAACTTTAAGGACATTTTATGAGGGATAGGCTTAATACTTACACATGTTCGACATATATACTTTTTTGTAACTGAATTAATAAAGGTATATAGTCAGTTAGTATACAGAATCATATACTACTGCTACTACTACCTTTCCACTTGACCACGTCTTCAAAATTTGTTCCACTTTTGAAAATTGTATCTACAAAACTGTACATAAATGGATAAATGCAAGGAGCTCATGCGTCTCGCAAATCTAATTTCGAACACGATATTAGGTTATTAAACAATATTGTTAGTAGTAAGTGCTTCAACCTTAATATCACCTTGTTTGCATACCATTTTGGTGAGATTATGTGACTTAAGCTGCATCAAGTCTTATATAAAAACATTATCTGATTGTGAATTCTCCGAGCAATTGTCCCATTGTCATTACTCCCCTTCATCGTGCCTCTCGTTAGAATAATAGGTGCTGTCTACACTCTCGAGTTTTCGAAAGATCCTGAAGTCATGATTTATACATTTTCCATTGTCATGATTACATGTTTCATACACGCCGCTGCAGTGAGGGAGGAATACGGTTGCCAGTCTTTCCTCTTAGAGCCATCATAGCGGTCACAAATGCCCCGGATGATGACGTAGCTGTTAATACAATTTCCTTCGATGGATTCTAAAACGGATGAAAACTCGTAATCATAAGCTATAATATGATTTTCTTTTGCGAAGCCTTGACGAAGATTTCTATCGGCCATCACTTCTTTAACGGCAGAGCCCACAAGTCCATAATGACAGATCGGAGCTCTGTCTTCTATGTCGTCATCGGTTGATTCAAAGCGAACATTTTTCACTATAGGTTTGACAAATCGGATTTCCTCCCACTGTAATTCATGTTGAGTGTGCTCCAAAATGTGCTGCCAGTGTGAGTTATCCCCCTGTTTTGATAATTTACGAAGGAGGCGGTTAACGACGCTGCTTGTAGGTCCCCAACCCTTTGTGTCGAAAGTTGCCCGCTTCGTCCTCTCGCTTACAGAAACACTCGGACAGTGGACATACGTCTGATAGCGACGGTCGGGAGAAGATAATACCACATCTCCCAATTGTATGTTTGAGTTATTAGCCGCATTGATACTGTCAACCATACCCCCAACTCCTACTAGAAACACGTGTTCTACTTTTCCAAATGTTCCTAAAAAGAAAAATAAGATGATCACCTCGATTTTACATGTATTTAACGTAATTAAAAAATCGTGCTTAGTATGTTTTTTATCAATTGAAGTAAAGACACAAATATACTACATTCACCTACATCTATGTATGTATATAATATCTTGTGAAACATTTACGAAAATAGATAAAACTTATACCTCAAAAAACGTCACTTACCTAGAAGTCTGGTGACCATGTTGCCAGCAGAAATCTTGGCTCCTCGAGCCATTCCGATTCTTGGTAACTTCGTTGAAACCACTTTCGTGTTTCCTATGGTGCCAATTGTATAAACTTGGGCTTCACCTACAAATGAAACATGAATTGTGACATTAATAGCATAAATCATGAATATTTCATGTAGGACGAGAATATAGAATTAGGATTGTAAAAATCTTGGAAACATGTATGCTATATCCAGGAAAAACAAAAAAACAAAAGTTGGACACATCTTAGTATATTATAACTACGTTCTATGTATAATTGGATCAAAGAATAGTTCGCACCAAAATTATTGTACACATATAAAACTCCCTTTTATCTGGCCAAAAGTTTAGATTATAGCAAAAGCTCAGAGATAATCAATAATACATACAGGGTGGGCCAAAAAAAACAATACCCAACTTTAAATCAGACTGAAAATAGCTATGTTCAATTTGATACACTGATTTATATATCATTTTAAAGGTTATCCAATTTAGAACAATTTGGTATATAACACTATGTCATGAAATCAATATTAAAGTTTTAATATGCTTATTTGGGAGGCCGGGTCAGTATTTAAGGTATCCAGATTTTATGGAGAAAATAGTAAATCTGCAGAATAATGTTAATTCTTTATTTATAGAATATCATTTTGTTAGGTGAATAAATGCTTGTATATTTGCATATTGTGTGACTAAACTTATTGTTTATGAATTTTAGTGTTGTTTATTATCAATAAGAACTCAAAGGGGGTCTGTTAAAAGACAATAAACGTATATGTGACGAGGATTTTATTTTCCAAAAAGACATTGCCCCGTACCATAGATCTTAAGAGACATTGGCATTCCTTTGCAAACAAGGTGTCAATTTGATTGATCTCGATGCTTGGCCACCCAACAGCTCCGATGCTACATGTAATTTGTTTGATTACGATACATGGAGCCATCTCGAGGAAATGGTACAATCAAACGCATCCAATAAACAGCTTTGATGTGCTGAAACAGAATCCTAAAGTGTTGAAATGAATTGCAACAGAAATCTCTCAATAAGGTTATTGATAGATTGCGCTACCACTTGAAGCTTATTGTTGATGCATAGGGGAGGGGGTAGGGGTATATTGAGCAATTGTGAAAATTGTTTCAATAAATAAAGTGTAAAATGTTATTAAACAACACTGAAATTCATAAACAATAAATTTAGTCACACAATGATGAAAATATCAGTATCCAAGCATGTATTCACCTAACAAAAGAATGATATTCTATAAATAAAAAATTAACATAATTCCGCAGATTTACTATTTTCTCCCTTAAATCTGGAGACCTTAAATAGCGACCCGGCCTCCCAAATAAGTATAATAAAACTTTACTATTGATTTCATGACATAGTGTTATATACAAAATTGTTTGAAATTGTATAACCTTTAAAATGGTATGTAAGTCTATGTACCATATTGAATGTAACTATTTTTATCCTGATTTGAAGTTGGGTATTGGTTTTTTTTGGCCCACCCTGTATATACATGTATATTGCAATTAAAAAATATTTTACAACTGATAAATATTTGTTTAAACTTATGATTTGTATACTTGTAAATTCCTTCTACGTGTGCTAATGATGTTAAATTAACGTGTCCCGTCGAGCTGCTAATTTCACTTTTAGAATTCAGTTTTTGACAAAATACATTGTAAAAGCTGAACGCTGAATTCCATATTGTCTTGTTTTCGAGCTCCACTCGAAAAGTTTACCTAACTTTAAATTTAACGGTGCAGACCTACCTTCAATTTTGTATTTAACATATGTAGTTTTACCAGACAACATGGCATCAACTGCCAGCTTCTCACAAAAGAAAACTGTCACTATTGCAACAGTAGGTTGTTCTCGTCCAGACAGAATCGGAATATTTGTGACAACTTTGAATTCTGAAATGATAAATTCATATATACGATTTGCAAGATTATAAAAACAAAGATACGATGGTCATGCTAATTTGATACTAAAAACTAGTTTGAAGCTTTAATTTGGCTGAGAGAATTCGTCACGTGGGGTCACATGTGTCTAGTCAACCGAATGATACAAGGAATTCACTAAATCTCGATGCTTCTCAATCAGACCATGCGTTGACTGATCATTGATATTGTACGGTGCATAAAATAAAATCAAAGTAGAAATAATTTTTTCTACCATGTTGTTCTCCTCTCTGTGATCGCTGGAGTCTCATCCACTTGCCGGCCTCGATCTCCTTAATGAGACCTCTTTCAACCAAGTCTCGCAATAACACTGCCACCGTCATCAGATCACTGCGCTCATAATTCAACTCTCTAGGTACAAAAACGGCAAGTCGTTAAATAAATTCGAATTGCAAGAGAAAAATATCTTGAATAATTAAACAAGTGGACAAAAATGTTGGTGCTTAAATGAGTATTAGTAATGGCAATATAAGATGTAATTCTTCATGTTGAAATGCATTTCAACACAAACCCAGACAAGCTCTGTCCCAACTGAAAAGAAACTAGTAAATCGATTGAACTCGTATCAATAAAGCTACAACATTATCGAATAATACAAGTTCTAGTTCACTGTACAAACGCTAAATGAAAAAGGGACTGGGATGGCGTTTGACAAGTGCTAGCAAGGTGACTAAAACGTCATGGAAAAATGAATGAATCTTACCTGACCAGGTCATCTACTGGCATACAATTGGGGAATGTATCCTCAAGAATATTGAGTATTTTCTGCTTCCTACTTGCCCAAAGTAAAGTTCGGCCAAGTTTCGACAGCTTAACCCTCTTGCCTAGAACATTATGATATCATTATGACAAGATAGACGATTTGGCGAAAAAATAAATCGACCATATCTCGATACCCCCATCTCCTTTCTGAAGAGCACCAAGTGGCAGATAAGAAAGTGTCAGTTAAACAAGAATGGAAAATGAACCCCTATACTACACAATTCTACAGTTATCAAAGCCATGCTAGTTGCTACATCTAGCGTGATTGTACGATTCGTACTGTATTTGTTGATACACGCGTTTACAAATTAAGATAGATATATAAGGTAAACAGATCGATCATCTCATCCCTCAATGAAAATCCATTTTATAACCCTGTGCACCTGGAAACAAAGGAGTTTTGTACCACTACAGAAATGATAAAATGTGCATATAAATGCACCTTTTATTACCGCGTCCTCATAATATATTCTTAAATAAACCTACTCGATCCTTTCGTGACTGGTTGGATTTCTAAACGCAGTTTTTGAATCGTGTCATATCTTTTCGCCAACACCAACGTTTTCTTTATGAATCCCACGTAGTCTAAAAGTAAATAACAAAATGTTTTTTTTCTTTAATGAAACTGTTTAACTATTGATCATTAGAAAATGTTGTA